ATATATATATATATATTATTTATGTATATATCAAGGGAATGTTACACTACCATTTTGTGGTCCCGCAAAGGCAATGATGAGTGATATGGCGAAGAGGATCGCAAAAACAACGGTAGCTACGCAGAGAGCCCTCTTTTGTGAACACACGATTCCATTGTGCTCGTAAATAGTACGTTTGTGCAATCCTGTGTTACTGTCTCCTGGAACAAAGAGTCTCCTGAAGAATGATCCATCAGCCTACGCGATGCACGCGCACATCGTTCTCTCGATCCCGCAAAGCGTGAGCATTTGTTTTGACAAACAAACGCGGCGCGGACGAAAGATTACTGGAGGAATTACGTAGGCGAAACGTAATGGCAAAGTAATCCGAAAACACGGGATGCCCACTAACGCGAAGGGAAACAAGTTCGTCTCTGTCCTCGGTTGCACACTTGACCTAGATTTTTCACTGAGCGACAGCCGACAGTGACGTTAATGCAGTTACTCTGACAAAACACGCCGCCAGCATGTTTTATTATACCGACTCTGTGCAACATTTCGAATGACAATTTCGATTAATTGGTAAGAATTGGTCGAACGACCAATTTCTCGAAAGCGCAAGTAGAAAGCAACGAAAAGAATTCACAAAGTTGTTCGCGCGAAGCAACACTTTGTGCTGCGACGTATCGTTTTCACGGCGACGACGACAGCAACGAACAGTGAAACAGATCTCTGTTTACGCACTTTGCGAACATTCTCGTGCTCGAATTAGTCGAGTCGGTCGACGAAAACGACACGCACACACGGCAGGGAGAATCGTCCCGCGAGGATAGCGTTGCGTGCTTTAATTTGAAAGATCAGAAGCTTCTCCCTTATTGATCGCACGCACGTGCTCTCCTCGTACAGTGCTATTCGTAGCCCGGAGGGTCGTAAGTGGGCCATCTGGTCGAACGGTTCCAAAGGAAAAGGAGAGAACCGCGTGTAGAAAAAAAGAGAGGGAAAGTAAGAAGAGAAAGAGAAAGAGGAAGAAGAGCCGAGGAATCAAGGGTGAAAAGAAAGGGTAGGGATGGGATGCGAAGAAAGAGGTAGCTACCTCTATCCAGGTAGCTGAGAGAGAGTGTGAGAGAGAGAGAGAGAGAGAGAGAGAGAATCCTCCCGAAAAAATTGTGTGTCGAATGCCTCTTCCTCTGACCTGTGTGTGTGTCTCACCTGTCAGAAAGGCAACGTCATCCACATCCTGCTCGCTCATCGTGAACCGATTCGGCGGCGGTCTCCGACGAACGATTTCTTTTACCTGACCGTCGTTCGTAGCATATAAGATTTTGATCAAGGGCTCTCTCTGTTCAGCCAGAATTCGGGCGGTCGTGCTCGTGGCTGTGTCTGCTTCGTGGCTGGTAGTTACTTTCGTTGATACACCGTCGGGCTCGGAGTGTCAAGGTCAAGGAATCACCGGAGGAAGACTGGCAGATTTACCTACTGGCACTGATCCGGGGGCTCGCGGTTACTCTAGGCCGAACCTTCTTCCCTTCTGCCCTCGTTCCGTTTTCTTTTTCCCCCCTTTTCTTCTCTCGCTTTCTCTTCGTTCTCTCTCTCTCGTGCTCGCGTGGAAGCTCGTCTGAAAGCCTTAACGCTTAACAGTCGGCAGAAGCGAGTAGTTTGCTCGTGTAGACGGACTGGCAATTGCAGAAACGGCAACGAGCAGCGAGCACGAGCACGAGCACGAGCACGAGCACAGGTACAGGTACAGGCACGGGCACGGGCACGGGCACGGGCACGGACACGGACACGGACACGAGAGAGATCACAAACACAGGCGCGAACACGAGCACGAGCACGAGCACGGGCACGAGTAGAAGCAGGAACCCGAGTAGGAGTGCGAGCAACGAGACCCCGAGGACTCGCGACAACGTGCACGAGCTCACCACCAAGTCACCGAACAACAGCTCGACAACGTCGGCGAGTCTATAACGCGCGACGTGTCTTGACATTTCATTGGCATTAAAGCGTGAATATAGCGACTGCGGAGTTAGGCAGAAATGGCGACTTTCCAAACCCCTTGGTGGCGGATCGCTTTACGGGGGTGAATTTGCAGCTCTCGCCACGCCGCACCTCGCTTCGCCGTCGCAGCGCGGGGGTGGCTACCTCTCTCGCCCCTTTACTGTGGCGCCATCCGTGACCCACCCTTTACAGTGACTCCTACTCGCCGTTTTATTTCCACGCTCGGGTTGGTAAGAACATTCTCTACCATTTCTCCCTCGCCCCGTTCATTTCACCCTCTGATTCTTCTTTCAACTTTCAGCTCGCCGCGAAATATTCCCCCCTCACAGTATCGTATCTCTCACTTCGATCATTGCCTTGTCGTTGGCAACATTCAATTGCCTCGCCCGCAAATTAAATCAAGTATTGTACTTTTCTCCTTTCTTCTCTATAATTTGTGTAATTTGTCGGCCGTGGGCCATGTTCTAGCGACTCTTTAACAACAGACGACGATTTCAATACGATCGTAACTTTACGTTGTACGAACTTGGGAACGTGCTCTTTTAAATGAATAAAATGGAAAGGGAAAAGAAAAGAAACACACGAGAATATGACTAATTTGAGTTGAAGTTGAAATAAATGTTTTGGGTTGTGTGTATGATACATAAAACATGCTGA